ATATGCGTGGAAAAAAGAACCGTGGGACTGTACATAACGTTTCCCAAACTCATTACGAAGGTCTTGATAAAGTTTTTAAAGAAAATTCTTTTGGGTGCTCCGAGGCGCCAGATCCATGAGCTAATACACATGAAAAAATCAAGAGAGTCGTGTATTCCTAAAAGCTGGCTTGTAAATGCAAAAATATGCCTGAAAAAAATGATGGGGTTGTACATAACGCTTCCCCAACTCATTACGAAGATCCTCATAAAGTTTTTTCAGAAAATTTTCTTGGATGCTTCAAGGCTCCAGATCCATGGGTTAATACACACAAAAATTCAAGAAAGTCGTGTTTTTTCTAAATTTGGCTTGTAAATACGAAAATATGCCTGAAAATATAGTGGGACTGTATGTACTATGTATCACCAAAAATACATGGACTATAGCACACGAAAATCAGTAAAATATATTTTTTCTTGCTTTGGGGCTCGTTTGAACATGAAAATGCGTTTGTTTGCCCCTCAAGACCAACTCACGCCACTAATAAGGTCGTAAGAACATCCATGAAAAATTTCAGTAAAAAACAAGCCAGAATCTTATATCATAAAATTCATGGACTAAGAGCACACGAAAATCAGTAAAATTTAATTTTCATGCTTTAGGGCTCGTTTGAACTTAAAAATGCGCCCGTTTGCCCCTTGAGAATAATTCACTCCATTAATAAGGTCGTTACGGACGTCCATGAAAAATTTTGGCCAAAAAGAAGTCGGTATCCTATATCACCAAATCCATGGACTATAACACATGAAAAATTGGTAAAATCTAGTTTTTCTTACTTTGGGGCTCCTTTAAACATGAAAATGCGCCTCTTTTCCTCTTGGGACCAACTCACACTATTAAAGAGGTCGTAACGAACGTTCGTGAAATATTTCGGCCAAAAACAAGTCGGAATCCTGTATCACCCAAAATCTATGGACTATAGCAGACGAAAATCGGTAAAATCAAGGTTTTCCTGCTTTAGGGCTCGTTTGCCTCTCCGAACCAACTCACGCCATTAATAAGATCGTAACGGACGTCTATTAGTAAAATTTAATTCTAGTCATTGTTCTAAAGCATATTTAATTTTAAAGCACATATTTTTGAATGCTAAGTGATTGAATCATATATCATAAATCCCAATTGAAGGATCAAAAAGTTCCATTATGATCCCAAATAAAAATTAAAAAAATACCAGAATTTCTTTATATATTATACCACATAAAAATCTCTAATTTAACCAAAAAAATAATAATCTCAAAAACATTAAGCAAGAGTAAATAAATGTATATGTACAATTAAATTGCATAATATTCTTTCTTTAGTAATTAAAAAAAGACTAAATTCCAAAAATATATAAGCATTTTGAGATAAACTTCTATTACATATTAAATTAATTCCATGACACAAGTGATGTTGCTATGGAGACAAATGCCCATGATCTATTCATCTACCACTCTTGACCACGTTCATTATGTAAAAGTAATTGTATTTTATTTATTTTTCTTCTTTTTGTTCCATTTGTTTATTTGAAAATTTCTAGTTCGAGTTTTGAGAATTATGTTTATTTTGGTAGAGAGTGATTCATTTTTTAATGTGCTTTGCATGACATGGATTTGGATTATTCAGAGGTCCGAAATTGATATAGTGAATTTGAAGTTAATGAATTCTATTACTTCCTTCTTCCGATCATCGAATCCATAACCTGTTTATGTTATTGTATTCACGATTTACTAGTATATGTAAATATTTATATAACATACGAAATAAAATTATTAAATTATGTTAAATTCATATTATATGAGAAATTTATTCGATAATCAAAGCATTTGATGTATATGGTATGATAATTGCTAAAGCACAAAATAGTGCAAAATCATATTATTTGGCATTTGGTTAATGAAGAATTTTTTAAATTCTCGACAGACAAAAACATTTTTCTCTCTGTAAAACACAAATGTAATTAATCGACCTAATAAATTTCAAATTTAGTACAAACTAGATAGAATTTTTAAAATTTTCCACTATATAGTAAAAGTTTAAAGAGACTAATAACAATATTGAATTTAAGATGAAGATAGGAAAAAAAGCTTTTTGTATCGATCTTAAATTATTAGTCAAATATTTATAGATATTTAATAACTTTTTTAATATATAAGGTGTTTGAATAAATGTTACTGATTTTTTTTTATAAATTTATAGATTGTGCTTTAGATCCGCCATGAATTATATAAATACATTTGCAAAATATATGATTAATTAAAGATTTTTTTTGTATTTTTTTCTTTAAATCGTTTATTGATCATAGGAGATCATTTCCTCTGAAAATCACGATTTAACTTCTTGTTTTTTTTTTTTTATATAATTTCTTTGAAGTGGGGTTTGAGGTGTCCTTGAATCAATTGATGACTCGATTTGTTGAAATCCCATATGATGTGTTTTAAGTGAAAATGACCAATACCATGAGAGGTAGGTGAATTTGTGCCACGTGGCACAATAGAAAAATAATATTTTTGTTTAAATATGGGATGAGATAAATAAAAATATTTTATGAAATTTAGTTAATTTCACTATTTTAGTACAAAATAATTTACAGAATTAATTGTTACCAATAATCAAACGCGGAATAAAGTACAATAGTATTGTACTGTATCTCAAAATTATTATACCTTGTTTCACCAACCAAATAACCCTTTTAAGGCACTAAACTAAGCATACAATTTAACTAAAAAAAATGTCTTTTTTTCCCCTCTCATTACAAGATAAAATATTATTTTTTTTACAATAAGTTTGATTTTAGAATTATAATTCTCCTCATTTTATATTTATCTTCCAAAAAATCTTGTAAAATCAAAGCTTAAATAATTTGAAACATGGCAATTAGATTGGACATGTGGAGTATCTCTCCATTTAAATTGCCCATTTATATTACCATGGATGTTGTACTTTACTCTACACAAATACTTGTTTTTTTGTGGCTAAATATAAAGTTGTTATAAATAAAATTTCTTAATTTCATTTAATACTCTCATGTATATTAATTATATTATATAAATAAATGCACACAATATGAGCATGGATAAGGTGGTGTAAGAAACGTATCTTGGACCTAACTTAACCTTCAATATTAGCTCATGAGGGATTGTCCAATGTTATTAAGGAGGCCACTCATTTCTTTTTCATTCGTTGTGGAACTCTTCAACACCCCACCTTACGCTCAAAACTGGACATCTGGATTGTGAACAATTTAATATGGGGACCTAACATCGATAAACAATAATTGAAATGAGTCGTGCTCTATAAGTAAGTGAATCTTAGACCTAACTCAACCTCAAAAGGTAGCTCACGAGGGAAGATTGTCCAATATCATATAAGGAGACCACTCGCTCTTTTTTCATCATATGTGAGACCCTTCATTATAAAGGGAGTTGAGGAGGTTCGAAGGTGAGATGATCAAGCTGTGGGGACTGGGGTTGTTGGGTGGGTGAAAGGAGACAATTATCTTGAATGCCACTTATGAAATTTGTTTTTCGCACTTACACTCAGAAAGTCATTTTTATCAATTTTAAATAAATTATTTTTCCAGAGAAAATATTTTGACTAACCAAATATAAAGAAAATTTTTTTTTTTTCATTTTTCTTCATACCAAACACATCTATAGTATATTATATATATAAATATACATACTATTATTTATTTAATTATACACTATATTTCAGCAAAGAGATTTTCAACATACTAGATGGAAAAAATGTCTTTCGAGGAAGAAACCACTAAGGATAAAAATAAAATTAATCAACATCATGTCATCATAATGCCTAAAAATTGGAAGTGGATCTACTCTTTAAATAAATTGATTTTATTAGTTTTGATTTAATGCAAATTTAAGAAAAGTATTTAACACTAAATATAACTAAACTCAAATTTGGATCGTGGAAAGAGGAAAGGGTAAAATTGGAAATAATGCAATATTAGATTTGAAGAAAAAAAAAGTCTCAAGTCAACAAGAATATTAAGCAATAAAATAATAATCTTTCAAAACTTATGAAGTCCATATATTTTTAAAAAGAAAATAATTTTCTATATATACATTCTTAATAAATTAGGACTTGGAACATTTCAAAATCTTTCAACAAAGAAAAAGAGAGAAATTCTTATTATTTAGTTGGAGATTAAACAAAAGAAATCCTAAAATTCTCACTTAAATTTTCAATATTTAAAATGATTAAAAAAAAATTGAAATGTCATTTCAATTTTTGATATCAAAATTTATAAATAGACAAATCAAATAGAGTGTTTCCTCCTTTAATGAGTGTGAATCTGAATTAGTATGTGGGTCCTATGATCCGTCAATGTTAACTCGTTAATAAATCATATACGATACGACTCCAAACTAATAAGGTAATAAAAATACCAAATTACGAACCGTAATGCAATAAAAATAAAAATAAAAAGAGAAAAGAAACTTATGTGTACATTAAGTGATTATTATATATCATATATTTGCCTTTTGAATTACACATTTAAATTATTATTTTTTTTAGGAAAAGCATTAGTAAAGAAAGCTAAAACATTACAAATTTTACAATAGAACAAAGAAGGTCATACAGAAACAACTCCATCCTTTCCTTTTATTTTCCAACCATTTATTAGATTCCTTCAATGGGTCTTTCATTTGCTATTAAAAAAAATATTGTACAAATTTTCAGCTGATTTCTTCAAAAAAAAAAAAAAGAAGTAGAAAAAAGAAACCCCATCTCAATTTCTTGATAAATTTGTTCATATATTTTGGCTGTTTTTCAGTGGGGGGTTTTCTGGGACTTTAAGATACAGACTTCTCTGTGTTTTCTTGAGTTTTTGTGTGTTTTCTGCAGAAGTTTGTTTTGGGTCTATTGCAGAAAAAAGTATATAAATTTTGCTATTAAAAGGGTGAAGAGAATAATCAAAAACTTGTAAAGATTGTATTTTTATACTTTTTTTAATTTTATTTTCTTAGGAAGACCAAAAAAAGAGAAGCTTTTTCTTCACAAGACTGGTTTTTTTTTCTTCCCTTTTCAATTTAATTGTTTTTGTGAAATTTTACGAAAAAAAAAAAAGATTGGAAAGATGGGAAAGGAAGGACCTTGCTATCACTGTGGTGTTACAAGTGAGTTCTTAATTCTTCAATGTATTTTTTTTGTGAATTTTCAAGAAAGGTGGAGTCTTTTTTGTGTCCCTGTAGAATTCTTGATGTTTTGTAAAAAAAATTTGGCTTAGATGAGTTGTTCAATAATTGAACTGGATACCCATATGGTTGTTGCTTCAAAAATGTAAAAAATACTAGCACATTGAACAAATAAAGATTGATATGTACTATTATGCATCCAGTGCATTTAGTTTTGAATTTTGTTTTGTTTGTACTGTTAGTGAAATCTCTGAATTTCAATACTGGGGTTTTGAGTTAGAATTCATTTCTGAAAATAGTTTACTTTTTTATTTCTTCCAACCATTGACTCTCTTATAGTTTATTTGTGTGTAAAAATATTGCTAAAACATCTAGGAGTTCAAGTCATTCCCTTATTGTTTCCAACAAAATTGTGGATATTTTGATTGTGTTGAATTCTTGATTTCCCTTCTAAACTATGTGTAATGGATCCTTCATTTGCCTTGATATCAAACGGATTTCCTCGAATGCATTAGACATGGGTATAGGGTACTTTGTGCATGCCCTTCAAAATATACTTAAAATCAGCAACGTTGCGCATACCAATACCATATGCTTACACACATCCATATGGGATCCCTATAAGTAGTCCATGTAACATAGCTTCCTAAATGTAGAAATGTACTTCGTTAGGTGCTTGTATTTTAGTTGCTATTGGTGCAAGCTGAATTCTTGCTCAATGTGGCATTGATATGGTCCTTTAAGGAGCAAATACCGCACAAAGATGACAAGACTCATCTATATTCATGTTCACTGATTTTTATAATATGAAAAGTTCCTTCCTGGAACTAATGTGTTTGATTGCTAATTCATGCTTCCGTTACAATTATAGAATCAAATAAGCTGTATGATAGCACTTCCTTTGTCAGTGTCTCACTAAGCAAAGGCTTGAAGTTTTATCTTATATTTTTTGAATCTTGTGATCAAGTTGCTTGTTTCCAGCTCCTGCTTGGGCTGGTTTCGACATTGTGATAGTTGGCCCATTGTGACAAATTTTTAGGTTGCCTTTGAATTGGATACTCTCTCCAACATGATATTACTTAAAGTCATCTTGGAAATTGGAAATGCTTGTTTGCTTGATGTTGACTTGTGTGGCAAATTGTTCATGCACACAGAGGTGATAAACTGGTTTGGACTGTAAAATGGCTCGAGTTCAAGTAGGTTTACAGGAGGTTGTTAAAGATGTCTTGTTGCCCCTTGGGTTGCGGCTCTTCCTTGTATCTTACGTGAATGTGTGATGCTTCGTGCGCCAGATGGCCCTTTTATTGTTCTTAGGAGTATAACTCTTTAAGCTTGGCTTTTTAAGCCATCCAATGCACGACTTTTGATGGAAAATTCTATGGAGTTCGTTGCTCGTTTATTTTATCCTACTCTTAGCTTAGTTGTTGAGTGGATGGCTTTCTTTTGCTTGTCTGATTGCTCCACTGGATAATAACTTCCTCAGCTTTCTTTTGACAATGATTAATGAGTTACGTTCTTTGTCTGTGTACTTAATTTGTTACACTTCTATGGAAGAATCATTTGTAGATCTTTCGTCTACTTTAGCTGCCAGTATTCTTTTACCTTCTGCAACTGAAAACATGAGAAGGAAAGCTGGTGTATCATTTCGTTGATTTACATAAGAAGTGACCATCATTGGCCAATCTTACTCCTTTCTATGTTTCCGGAAAGATGTATACCATCTTTTCAGTTCTCGTTGCACATGAAATGTCAGCCTGCTAGTTAGTTTCTTCTTTTCTATTTCTTCGATGCTTCCATTCTTTCCAAATTTTCAGTATTTTAGATACCATTAATTCTTCCCAAGATCATTTACTTTGAGTACATTCTTAACCATCAAAATCATGCTGCAGGTACTCCACTTTGGCGTAATGGACCTCCAGAAAAGCCAATACTGTGCAACGCATGTGGATCTCGGTGGAGAACAAAAGGGACTTTGGCAAACTATACTCCTCTGCATGCAAGAGCAGAACCTTGTGACTTTGAGGAACACAGGGCTTCACGGTTCAAAAACATTTCTATGAAGAACAAAGAGGCCAAAATTCTGAAACGAAAGCAAAGTCATGATAATGCTGAAGTTGGAACTCCTCCTGATTATAATCTAGGTTTCCGTAAGGTCTTAGATGAAGATACTAGCAATAGGTCAAGTTCTGGCTCTGCTGTCTCAAACTCTGAGAGCTGTGCGCAGTTTGGTAGTGCTGAAGCAAGTGATTTGACAGGTAAACAAAAGCCAAGAACTGCAAACATTAAACTGTGAACTACTTTTCCCTTCTCCAGAAGAGGCAGGATTGTTGTGTTACAGTTGGGGTCATTCTCTTTGATATGGAAACTGAGTTAATTGTTTATCGGAGATATAGATATTACATAAGTAGATATTCTAATAGCTACTTGATAAATTGTACAGGGACTCCTATTTGTTGATGCCTACTGTTTCTGTTCGACATCTATTATTAGGTATGGAGATCGCAAATTAGGGTAGATAGTTGAGTGTTGTCTTGCTTTTCAACGGGATTAGGATTGGTGGTAGTCTAGAACCTGTGTCTGTCATAGCATTAGTTTTCTCGGTTTTGTTATCTGTTATTTATTATGTTTAGGTGATTGCTCTATTTTATTGATCTTACTGCTCCTTGCTTGTATGCTCTGCACTACTTTTCTATTAGTTGTCATGTTTTCTTCACTGTCGTTTTCCCTTTTCATTACTACTTTGATTTGATACAACTTGAGCTGAGGGTCTTTCGAAAAGAACCTCTCTACCTCCACGAGGTAGGGCTAAGGTCTGTGTACTACCCTCCCCAGACCCCACTTTGTGTGATTTCATTAGGTATGTTGTTGTTCACAGAATTATTTCACATTCTCCAATCTCCAGTATGGATATTTTTGGATAATTACTGCCCCCCTTCTCTAGTATTACGGATGCATTTTCTTCTAAACTGAAAATTTTGGTGCCAAATCTTGAGCTTGGTAGAGTAATTTTGTTCTTAGCATTTTCTTGTGCTTTAAGTTATTGTTTTGGTGTTTTTTTGGCTCTCCATCCCTTTTGATTTCAATAGCTGCATGAAATATTTACACGTTAATTTGGTTTTCAGGTCCAGCGCAATCCAATATATGGGATTCAACGGTGCCTTCAAGGAAGAGAACCTGTTTCAATCGTCCAAAGCCATCTTCAGTAGAAAAGCTCACTAAAGACCTATATACCATCTTACATGAACAACAAAGTTCATACTTGTCTGCATCCTCTGAGGAGGAGTTGCTTTTTGAGAGTGACAAGTCTATGGTTTCTGTTGAGATAGGACATGGAAGTGTACTAATGCGGCATCCTAGTACAATAGGTAGAGAAGAAGAATCGGAAGCCAGCTCTCTTTCCGTTGACAACAAGCACCGTTCTGTCAGTGATGCTTATTCACGATTGACTACCCCTCCTGTAAATATTAGTAAGGGTGTCAATTCACCAAATATGGGTACCGAGAGAATCAAGAAACCTACTGGTCCGGCTATAGAACAAGACCAGATTAAAAGGTGCTTTCTCTATTAGTCTTGATAGCATGTAAAGTTCCTTTGAGAAAGGAAAATTTGTTCTGCGTGTGTTCAGACAGAATATGAGGTGTTAAATGCATCATATCTGCTATTTTATCTTTCTGATTGTTTTATTTTATAATTCTTTTTTGCAGAAACAAGGATCACCTTGAAAAACTACAAATTCTTGGACATCATAATTCACCCCTTCGCTATATAGACCTGAAGGTATTTTATTCTCTCTTGTATTCCTATGAAGAAATTTTTTTTTGCTTTCTATTAATACAACCATAGCATGTCCCAACAATGCCAACTTGTGCGTGCTGCACGACTCTGTATCCACAATATTTCTCTATGCTCCAGCCTTTTAGTTGAGTGTTCTTGTAGACTTAAAAGTGATCTTTATCTTTTGATGAACAACTTTTGACCTGTGTGGATTTGCTTCCTCTTCAACAATACATGTCTTGGCCATTTCCAAAATTGATTCAGTTTTAGATGTTACTCGTATTAATCAAAAGTTGAAAGATTATGTGAATACTTGGGTACAGGATGTACTTAATTATGAAGAATTCACAAGTCATTTGTCAAGTGATGAACAGCAGCAACTACTGAAGTACTTACCACCTGTTGATTCTTTTGCGCCTCCAGATAGGTTTGTCTGTCTTCTCTGTTGTTCACTTTCTCGGTCATGTTTTGTTTTGGCTTTATATTGAACTCGAACAAGAAAGAAAATTCGATCTAGGTAGCTCAACCAGCTGATTGTTTTTGTGTTGTTTTCTCTCTCTTTAGTCTTAGAAGCGTGTTCGAGAGCTCTCAATTCGAGGAGAACCTGTGTTCCTTCCAGAAACTTCTCGCAGAAGGTGTTTTTGATAACTCATTTTCAGGAGTGACATTAGAAGATTGTAGAAACTTGAAGAGATTTATATTGTGCTATTTAACAAAGTCAAAGTGGATGCAACAATATAATTTACTCAAGGTTTGGTTACTAACGATTCGCTGCATAGATATTGAACATGTGACGCACCATCTTTTATGTTACATCTGCTAAATGTAAAGTGCAACTTTATTGAAGCTAATTTTGTTCTTTGATAGGACAAAAAATGTAAGAATAGTAGCAGCGGCTCTGAAGTTGCCCGAGAGCCAAATGTTGTTGGCACATGTCATTCAGCTAATGTGAAGAAACCACGGGAGGGGCAATATCCGAAGTGTTCAGGTCAGTTGTGTTCCTCTTTTACTTATTCCATTATGACATTTGACAATTATTCTGCCGTACACTTGTTTCTGTTGTAGACAACTAAACTTTGATTTAGTTTTGAGCATTCACAACTAATTTTTTTAACTTGTTATTTGCTGTGCCATATAACTCATAAGAATCAGAAAATGTTCCTTACGATGCAATGGCTTATTTCTTCACAAATGAGCAACCACGTAGCTTGACTTATGACATAATGTGTTGGTGTAAATTGGCTTATAATGAGAGATGTTAGAAGCAAGGGATTCATATGATAAAGATCTACCTAAATATATCTGTCTTCTATTATTTCTTTGTACAAGCCCCCTCCCTAACCAGTGGATAGGACATTGTAGTTTCTTGTAGTACATCGATAATCATACCAGTGGATAGGACATTGTAGTTTCTTGTAGTACATCAATTATGATTATCTCATATATTCTCGATAGACCTTTCTCAAATTAAACCATTGTTCAAATTCATGGGTGAATATACAAGAATCTCCTCCCATAGAGGCGGAGCCAAGATTTGAAGTTTATGGTCCCGGATTCTAGCCCTTTTAAGTTATCAGGTTCTAAATTAATAGTTTGTACATATTAAATGGATTTCCTAAGACAAGCACTGTTTGGATCAAAGTTGCTAGGTTTGACTGAACCCGTACCTTGAACTCTAGTTTTTCCCCTGCCTCCCCCACCTAGAAAGAATGAAAAAGAAAAGAAAAAGCTTTTGCTCCATTGCCATGTGCAATGTGTTCTTTGATTATATATTTGCTAATTCCTACAAATTAAGATTTACAAGCTATTTTGCTTCAGGTGCAAAGACGACAATGAAGAGCCCCAAAAGGGTGGTGATGAAAAGCATCTATGAGCAGAAGGAACTAGTAGACAATGATGGCTCTTGCTTCAGTCCAAGAAGCTCGTTTGCCTTGCCTTCTGAGAATAGTTCCCTCGTTCTGGATTCTTTCTGTTCTGCAAATGAAAACTCCCATCAGGACTTGCTGCTGGACGTGCCATCCAATAGCTACTGCCCTCAGGCGGAACTACTCTTACCTACATCAAGTTTTACTACTCAAGCAAGTACTACTAGTAGCTCAATGTACCCTCCACATTTCGTCCGTCCCTAACAATACCATCATTACTTTGCTTGCTTTCCTTAGGATATCAAAAAGCTAGTTAAAAGTCAAAACAACATCGTAGTGTTGCATATCCCATGCAAACTTTATATTGGAATTTGTCAAAGGGATTCGGATGGTTACCTATTATCTTTTCGCTGTTGACCTATATTGAAACCGGATTTTTTAAAATTACCATATGGATATGGTTGTTTTCCCCTTGATGAAAACTGTGTAATATAAGTTGAAATGCAGAGATGGTAATGAGTGGGCTAGAAATATTGTATGCAGTGAAATTTATGGCTTAATTATAGTGTGTTAGTTCTATTGGTGGTGATATTCTATCCTCCTAAAGACTTCAACTCTCCAAATGGAAGGAGTAGAGTTCCTTACTAATTTTAGGGATGACAATGGGGCGGGGTGGGTTAAGCCTGAACTCGTAAAAAATTGTTTCAACTCGTCTTGCACCTGCCCTAGTAAGGTTAGAGTAAACCTAACCCTGGATACAGTCATATTGGCATTGCCTTGTTCATGTTGCTATCCCTACCTTCGGAACAACCAGAACAAGGACAAATTGACTTGAGCAAAGGAGACCGTAAAGAAGAAGGGGATTACCAAAGAAATAGTGCAAGGATATTAGGTAAACAGTTGATGTATCATACTCGATCCTTGTGTGGCAACTGATCAGACCCAATCTCATCTTGCATAAGGTCATACCAGCTCTGATCAAATCCAATCTCATCCTGCATAAGGTCATACCGGCTCTGATTTAACCCAATCTCATCCTGCATAAGGTCATACCGGCTCTACTAGTCTTGTCTTGTTGTTATCCCTACCCTTGGAACAATCAAATAGGAACAATGGACTTGTGTAAAGGAAAAGATCGATTATAAGAAGGGGATTAATAAAGGAATCATACAAAGATATTGAGTAGACAATTAATGTATCAGACTCTATCATATTTTTTGTAGCATGCATTTTTATTTGTGTCACAACCGATCAGACCCAACATCACCTTGCATAAGATCAAACAAGCTTCGATGGATGTCTTGGTTTAATGGTCAATAAAGTGGATGAAAGTTATAGAAAGGATCAAAGTACCAACTAGGGATGTGGAGTGGTAAGTATTGAGTCTTGAAAAATGATACTATGAAGAATATTATTTAATTCTAACTTCTAAGAGTAAAAAACATGGAAAAAATAAGAGTAATTTTCACATATAGCAAACATAAAAATCATATTTGTATGTTATTGCTATAGTTTGCATAATTGTGCTCCATAGCAAACTTTATGTTTGTTATGGCTATTAATATGTATATTTCGCTATACATATACAAAAGAAACAATTGTATAATCCGTTTCGGTATACATATGCAAAAGAATCAATTGTATAATCTGTGTTTGTATAAAGCGAGAAAGAGAGAAAGATAAAAGTAAGTTGGGCAAGGAAAGATCGTATTTGTATAATCATAAGTGTATAGGACGAAAATATATGCATTTGTATTTTTATATACAATTTTCTCTCGCTTTATACAAACACAAACGCAATGTATACATTTGTGTTTGTATAAAGTGAGAGTGGCGAGTGAGATTTGGGAGAGGAGAACGAAAATATATGTATATATACAATTTTTTCTTGTTGTATACAAACACAAACGCATTTTATACATTTGTGTTTGTATAAAAGCGAGAGAGGCAAGGGAGACTGCCAGCGAGAACGAGAGTGGCGAGCGAGATTCACCAGGGAGAGAGGCGAAATAGTAAGTTTGTTATAGTGTATAATTAAATCAAACCATGGTCATATCATTTAATTTGAATTAATAGTTTGCTATTATATATAATTTTCCCAAAAAAATAATTGTCTTTTCTTGATATATCAAAAGTTACAAATAAAAATGAAATATATTTTAGGAACAAGTGACAAGTAAAAATGAACAAACTAAGTAGTATAGTTAATCAATCTATTAATGATTTCTTAATCATATCTAAAATAGAAAGTGTTCATCTAACATGAGACATATGGAGCAATTATTGAAAGTAGTATACTAAAATAATCATATCAATCATTATTTTCTTAGTATGACAAGTCAAAATATAACAAATAAGAGAAATATTTTTAATTTAAGACCATTAAATATTAAAAAAAATATTCGTACTTTCTTAAATTTCGTGTCAAAACGAAAATACAAAACAGAGCAGACTAGTAAATTAGAGTAACAAATGCTTATACAAAGTTCCCATTTTTGCGGCTGAGAGTTGAGCTCTTCTTCTTCTTCTTCTTCTCTATCAAATTCACAGCTCCAACAACAATGTCTATAGCCTTATTCTCATCTCCTCCACTCCATTTCGCATCTCTCTCTCCTCCAAAATCCCATTTAACCCACAAACCATTTCTCCCATTACCTCTCAAAAAACCCTTTTTAATTTCCCCTAAATCCATTGATGATGCTTCTTCTTCTTCTTCTTCTGCTGTCACTATAGAGAAAGAAAAGGATGAGGGGTCTAATGGGGTGCTGTTAAACTCAAATGGGTCGTCGCCAGTGGTGGTCGCCGGAGCTCCATTGACGGAGACGGAGGAGGTGAGGAAGTTTCAGGATGCTAGGTGGGTTGGAGGAACTTGGGATTTGAAGAAATTTGAGAAAGATGGGAAGGTTCATTGGGATTCTGTCATTGATGCAGGTGAGATAAGAGTTTTGTACATCTCTAATTTGAAATTGATTCATTTTTATGACTTAAGTAGAAGTAACTAAAGTTCTAAACATTTATTTTTTGCCAATTTCAAGCTATGTTCTTGGTTGTTGCTACTAATTAACTCTACTTGCTAGACTTATATCCTGTTAGGCCAAGCTCTAGAAAGCTAGAAGTGCTAATGTTCTTTAAAAAAAAGAGCTAAGGGTCAAGTATCCGATTATTCGAGTTTTGTACCTGTACTATCAAGTGTGAAATTGAGTCTTGCTTATCTCCAATTTGATTTTTTTGTTAAGTTTTTTCTTGAAGTTGATTCATTTATATGTCTAAGTATCTGCAAAGCAGAGGCTTGTGTTGTTTCTTAAAGTTACTAATAGGCTTCTAGGCTAGCAAACATCTGAAAAAGTGGTGCATATGATAATTTAAGTGAATCCCACTTCAAAATGAGAGAGGAAAGTGAGGAGGTTTATAAGGCACACACAAGTTCACATATGCATGCTTTTAGGCTCGATGATGGCGTAGCCCAAGGGGCAAAAGTTCGTAAGGTCTATCAGACCAAAGGAGACAATACGTACCATGGGCTCAGGTTGTAATGTGACAACGTATGGGCCTGAGCATAAAAAAAACTAGTGGGCACATCATAAGTAGCATTAGAAAGCTTGTTGTCTTGCACATGCCATGTCGTTTCTATCGCCCATAAGAGGATTTCGTTAAGAGTAAAATTGGAAGATCGTTTTCTATTACATGGGTATTGGTTTAGCCTGCAATCACCTCACTATTTTGCCGAGTACCTGAATATAGAGGGGTCACTTCTTTTGGGACGGCCTAAAAAAGGAAGTGTCATTTAAAATGAAACAAAGAAATATATGTAAGTACTATAGTTGGGCTTTTTGAAAGTGGGTGTGCATGCCATCCAGTGTATCTGGAGATGGTGTAATGCTGAGTTTTGGTCACCAAATGAAGAAGTCAAAAGGCATTAGTCCCTCCGTTTCATTTTAGGTGTCTTAGTTTGACTAAGCAGATTTAAAGAAAATGAGGGGTATTTTTGGATCTTGTGGTCTTACCAAAGACGTGTCTAATATACTAATTTGTCTTTTGAATCTTGTAGCCTTAAACATGTCATGTGAGATATGGAAATGTAAGAGTTGCTAGATAGAGAAAGAGGCAGCCATTTTCAAAAAACTAAGAAGGAAAGTAAGGCACAAAAATTGAAACGAAGGGAGTAGTATTTTGTAAGAGAAGTGCCGCGTAAATGCTTTTGAACCTTAAGCAGGGTTAAAGATGAAGTTTAAAAGATTGAGAATGAGCATGAAATAAAACAACTAAGAAATTGTGGAGCAAAATTGTTTATGAAGTTTGCTTGTGAAGGATTTGCGGCACACAACATGGGGGAGCCATGGACTAGAAGGTATTGATAGATGTGCTTTCTTGCACTTTGGCTGGATCAAATTCTTGAATTAGAGTTATCTGTATGTTTGATGAATTACAGACAGTACAAGAAGATGTTCATCTAAGATGTCTCTCAATCCAAAATATTACTCACATGAAATGATGACTTTCTTGAATTGATGGATTGTTTTAGATTATATGCAGTTGTTAGTTTTATAACTACGAGTTGTTGATCCCTTTTCCTCCGCTAGATTCATTTGCTAATACACTTTAAAAAGTTGCAATCTTTCATCCTTTCTTCCAGTCATTAACCTACATTTGATGCCTTCTTGATAAATACATTGGCTTTCTTGATTTTAAGATTTAATCGGTTGTGCCTAGTGGTAGTAGACATTAACAACAGTCTCCTTTTTGTCCCTTTTTGGAAATTATCGCAATATAAAAATTGATGGCTATTCATTTTGCAGAGGTTAGGAGAAGGAAATGGTTAGAAGATAACCCCGAGTCATCAAGTAATGAAGATCCTGTGCTTTTCGACACCTCAATTATTCCTTGGTGGGCATGGATGAAGAGGTTCCATCTTCCTGAAGCAGAACGTCTCAATGGTTTGCTTCATATCCCTTTTCCTTTTTCTTGATAAGTAATTGAAGTTTCATTGATTGCGCCGAGCTGGTTGTGAATATGTACAGCAAAAAGATTTTTGTCCCCTCTAATAGGCAGGGAATCCAAAAAGTTGATGAATTTACATCCAAAAGGAACTGCATGTTACACCAACATTAGAACAAGATCCTACTTTTTAGAACATACTGCTGACGACTTGTTTTCAAAACATCTTTTATTTCTTTCATGCCACAAGGACCAAAATATCCATAACAACAACATACCTAGTATAATCCCACAAACTGGGGTCTAGGGAGGGTAGAGTGTACACAAACTTTAGCCCAACCTCAGGGGTAGAGAGACTGTTTCTGATAGACCATCGGCTCACGGGAAAAATAGTCTTAAGCAGTTCAAAGAAAGAAGTAATAGAAGTACAAGAAAATAGCAGATAGTAACAAATACAACAGATAGTAACAGGACAGTAGCAACAAAAATAACATTAATGGACACTATTTTAGTAGTATTACAGCTGTTTCTTTGTTTTCTGACCATTCCAGCTTTGAACTGTT